AACTGCTTTAAAAAAATAATAATAATATAGGCCCATTAGGTGCCCTCAAAATACCTCTAGGTCTTTAAGGGTTAAGGGTTAATGCTGCCCTCTTCGACTCTCCTCCTCTTCCTTTATACTTTCACCCATTTTCTTTTTGCCGTCCCTTGGGTGGAGATCAATTAAACAATGTTGACTGTCGTCACAGAAAACACCAACAATCATAAATGCATGATTATAAGCTGTCATGGCTTTACATTAAAAAAATTTTGTTATAATCAAGGCCAATGGAGAAAAAACAGTCATGAATATAACGAAAAGGGAGTAAAATTGCCCAGAGTATATTGAGTTTTTTTTTTTTTCAAAGCATTTTCCCAGAATATGTTAAAATAAGTCCCCAAATATCAGTCTGTTAGCTAAAACAGAGAAAGTTTTGGCCAAATTAAGTCTCAAAATCATCCCAGAATAGATGAAACTGACCCAACAGCACACAAGGGGAAAGGTGCACATTCCAGCCTTTATGCAGATGCTTTACAGGTATGTCTCATGTCTGCGAGGTGAATATTCAGCTCTTTGTTCAGCTGTTACCCTAGAACTTTTTTTCTGATGTGTTTACCAGTCAGGCACAGAATGAACAAGTATTCCCTGTCTGCTTTACACATTTTAGAAAAACATTTTTTGTAATTATGAATAAATACAAATAAAAATAGGCCATTTACAGCTTTCAAATCTGTGTCTCATCAATATGACCAAAATTACTTGTATGATCAATAATGTAAGAAACTCTGAAAACTGGATTGAGTTTCAATTTACTATAACTTCTATGTTAGGTGTCTTTGACACAGTTTACATTGTAAAAGCACTAGATAAATAAAGATGAATTAAATCTGCTTAAATGTGGACACGTTAATGGCCCAAACAAAATATGATCTGATTTATTTTACATTTAATGTGCATCAAAATTACAGTGTGTGTAGCCAATGTTTCCAGTGTCTTTTCACTTTTCAGCTTTTGATGAGAGTTTTTAAGACTTAATGAAAACTAATGTTTTATTCATTTATTTCAGACTTTATTGAAGAGAATGAGAGGAAAGAGGAGGAACATCATGTCAAATTTGAGGAAAAAACTTTACAGACTGATGGTATTTTGAAAAGGAGAGACAGGAATCGTTTCACCTGCACTCAGTGTGGAAGGAGTTTTGGAAGAAAAGGTGATCTTAAGATTCACATGAGGATCCACACTGGAGAGAAACCATTCACATGCACTCAGTGTGGGAAGAGTTTTAGCCATTCTTCAAACTTCAATCAACACATAAGGATCCACACTGGAGAGAAACCATTTATATGCACACAGTGTGGGAAGAGTTTCAGCCGATCATCACACCTTTATCGACACATGATGATCCACACCGGAGAGAAACAATTCACTTGCACTCTATGTGGGAAGCGTTTTGGAAGAAATTTCGATCCTAAGATTCACATGATGATTCACACTGGAGAGAAACCATTCAAATGCACTCAATGTGGGAACAGTTTCATCCAATCATCAAACCTTAATCTACACATGATGATCCACACCGGAGAGAAACTATTCACATGCACTCAGTGTGGGAACAGTTTCAGCCGATCATCACACCTTAATGAACACATGATGATTCATACCGGAGAGAAACCATTCACTGGCACTCAGTGTAGAAGAGTTTCAACCAATCATCAAACCTTAATAATCACAAGAAGACCCACACTAGAGATAAACCCTTTACTTGCACCCAGTGTGTGAAGACTTTTAACTGCTCATCATACCTTAATCAACACATGATGATCCACACGGGAGAGAAACCATTCACATGCACTCAGTGTGGTAAGAGTTTCAGCCGATCATCACACCTTTATCGACACATGATGATCCACACCGGAGAGAAACAATTCACTTGCACTTAAGTTGCGGTCACATTGGACTTATCTCCCCATAGATTTCGGAAGCCAAGTTTGTGTGTCAAGTTTCACAGTTCACTGCGTTGCAAAGTTCAAGCTTGTTGAACTCTGACCTGCGAAATCGCATCACTTGACCATGTAAGACCAATCGAAGATCAAAACATGACCTTTCTGGACAGAAATGTAAAATATAGACCAATCGCTTACTTTTTTTATGTCTAATCATCTTGTTTAATCCCGCCCCTGTTTGCAGCGCCATACAAGACAATTTTGCATGCTCAAACTCTTGTGTTACCGCAGCTTCAGTGTGGGATGAGCTCATCAGTCCCTAATAAACACATGAAGACCCACACTGTACTGTTCACATGAACTTAGTGTGGGAAGAGTTTCGATCAGCAAACTTTAATGAACACATGAAGATCCACACTGGTGTGAGAGTATATGTGCTTGAGTGTGAGAAGACTTTTATTACAGCTCGAAAATCGAAACTGCACCAGACGATTCACACTGGAGATCGTACAGATGTTTACACCATGACAAGAGGTTTAATCAGTTAACACATCTGAAAACACAGAAGAGGATTCACACTGCAGAGAAACCGTACAGACCTGATCAGTGTCTACAGAGTTTCGCTCATTCTGCGCAGCTTAAGAAACACATGGACAAAAAGTTGCACACATTGCAAAACATTTTCTCGTGCACAGGATGTTTCATGTCTGAATAATGTTTGAAAAGGCTGAGTGACGATATACTGTTTTCCAACACGCCTACACTGCAGTAGGTGGGGTTGTAAATGTGTTGTGCTCTTGTTTACCGTAAACACAATGATGGTGGCTGAGTGAAGAACAGTTTCATTATCAAACAGCACCTCTGTGGCTTAAATTTTTTTTGCAAGTGATTGTACAGGTGCGGATACATCTGTACTCCATTCTCCAGTGTATTCATGTAGTAAGTGTTTTGGATGATGTTCTCTGTCTGTGAATGAGAAACAAATCACTGGTACATTGCACATCAAAGAAGGTGGACCTCCAGGATGGATGGTTAGTTTGCAGTATACCAAGGCCTCAAGTTTAGAAACCTATTCAATTGCCCTTTGTTGCAGCTTTTGTTAGTAAAGTTTCTTTACTTTTGGGTTCAAGATTCTTTCTAGTTTACTACATTTTTCTTTTTGGAGTAGAATACAAACTTGATGAATATTTTATGATTTAGGCATTTTTTACTAAATTAAAACACTGTGATGATCCCAAGACTCCAAATTGAAGTATGTCGTAAACCCTGATTGGATGTCCGTTGTAGGAAAAAGGAATTTATTTTTATTACTTTTGTGTTCTTTATTTTTTTATTAGAAAAATGTTTAGACTAACAACATATTAATCAATCTTTTCTATTGTATAACACATCTTGACCAAACACACTTCCTCTTTTTTACTGTGCTGCATACTTTTTAGAAGAACTTCTGACTAGTGGAAAAAGCAGAATAAGAATAAATTTAGGTTTGTTCCAGACTGCTGTCTGGACATGTCACAAGGAGCATGATCTTTGTAGAAGTTATGAAATATATTAAAGCTGCACATAATTGTTCAGTTCTGGTATGCAGAGAAGAGTTGCAGAAAGAGGAAGTATGTCTAGGGGTTACAAAGAGCCAGGGGACTGCAGAATGACTGATCAGTGACATTAAACCAAAACTCCACCTGTTATTATCAGTTGTGTATATATGCTGGAGTCAGGAAATGGAGTCAGGAAATGTAAGTTAGTTGTGAACCTCTTGAATTTAATTCTTGTATTGCATTGGGGTAACGTAACCCAGAGCTCTGTCATCGAATTATTCATTTGTTTCTAATAAATTACTAATATTTTTGGCATTGAAGAATCTTACTGAACTTTTAGATATGTTATGGCATTAAAGTATATTCTTCTGATATTCATAACCTCCAGACTGAGTTTGATTTAGTAAGAGAAAAACCAGAAACCACAACAAACTCTGTCAAGACCTCTTTTTATTGTATTTTAAAGAGCATATTGTAGGTTAGACACCCCAGTGAGACAATGTGTGTAAGAGTAAAGTAAGAATTAGATTTTCTTTAAAATATACGTTAAAGTTTATTATTAAGCCGTTTGGAGTCGTTTTAAGTCACGGAAATTTACTTCCGCGTTTGAATCGCCAGACCGGAAGTGATGTCGGATCAGGGAGTTCGCACATATAAACACTATGAAGACAACTGATCGCGGTGCGCGTTTGGTTGCCGAGATAAGATATTCTGAGAGACTTACACAAACGACAGACCACAGCCATACAATTATAAGCCTGTGGACAGACCAGCAGACAGACCAGCAGACAGAGAAGTGTAATTTAACTATTGTGAGGGAGAGCAGAGCAGGTTTATGGTAAGGCCAGTGTTGGCTTACAGAGAGATTTGTAAGATAACAAAATCTTATCTGGCAACAGCAAAGCTGATATTGATCATCTATAAGTATTAATACTTACCAGTAACAGAAACTAATGAGCATTTAACACAGTTATGCCACATTAACACTATTTTTAATAGTAGATAAGTGAATACAAAACACAAATAACACAGAACATCTGAAGTAATGCTGAAACATGTAAACAAGGTACTGGAAAATCTTTTTTATTTTACAAAAGGTTTTCAGAGCTTCTGTATTAAAATAAAAACAACATCAAATATTAAAACAATTAAAAGAAGTTTTTAAATATATCTTTTTGTCATTTTTTCATTGGGTATACGATTATCTGTATCAGATCCCATTTAGGCTACAATCCATAAAAAGACAAGTACAGTTGTTATAGTATAAAATATTTACAAAGATTTGATCAACAGATCTGATCTGCATTTATGATTAAATAAACTTCAACCCTAATTCAAGCTCAAATTCTAAATGCAACTCAAGTTCAAGTTTTATTTATATAGCACAAAATCATAAGCAGTTTTAATACCCAGCATTTTTACTCTTTATATATGCATAAGTATCTGTGTGAGTGTGTGTATACTGAAAGAAAAATATATCATCTGACCCATTTAAAAGTAAACCCAAAATTATTTTTCAGTAAGTTGGCCAACGTTTATTTGGGTACCACACCATCATGTCTTTAATGTGTGTTAAATTGTGAATGCTGTGTAAAAAGATGCCGACAGCTTCATCCTTGTAAACCCGCTGGAAGGATCTAGAAAGGAGAGCAAATGTAGTGGCCACTTCTGCATTCTCGTCGAGCCTGTGATGAACTCCAGTAGTCCACCGTCAGACATGCAGTGAGGGCTGATGCATATATTCTGGGGAAATAATGCAAAAGTTTAAATCATGTTTATTAATAATGTATATTTTAAAATTCACCATATGATTTTTAATATAACACAATACAGAAAACCCAACCACATTTGCAGACCCCTGGATAGTGAACTGCAAACCATCTCACATATACAGTAGACTGTACCCATTATAAGTTGAGCATGTAAGAACAAACTTCAATTTTTTGACTGTTGTTTGTTTTTCTTCTACAAGATGAATATTCCTCATATGTGAATAAAAAGTGCCTTTCCTCATTGACAGGACAGAATATTTTTACTCTCCCTCAAGTGGTTTCAAACCTTATTGACTTTCTTCTGTTGATCACAAACCAAGATATTTTGAAGAAAGCTAAAAATCTGTAACCATTGACTTCTATAGTGGGAAAAACAGATATGGAAGTCAATGGTTACACGTTTCCAATATTAAAAAAAAAAAAGTCAAAGATAGTGTGAGTTTACCTGCCTGCATTATATAGAAATATTGTAGTAATTCTTTGCCCTTCTAGTTTTTGTTATCAAATAATACCATGCACAAATAATTCACGATAGGGGTCATAATATTTTACCCGATGAACGAGGTGAATGTCTGAGGTAAAATTGGTTTTATATTCACACATTCTGACTTTCTCCCTAATAATATAATTTTAGAAGAGTATTATTTGCTAATCCCTAATATCATGTTAGCAGCCAATGACTATCAAAGTACAACATTGTTCACTGTCAGTTTAATAGTGCTAATGTGGTTTTTAAGTCATATTTACGTGTGATTTCAGTCATTATAATAAAAGTGCTATGGTAAACAATACTGAGAGTGTGTCACACAAGCTGTCACTAATCGAATGTGCGAATGTAAAATCCACTTTACCTTAGTTGAGGTTACTCTGTGAGCCAAAGTGAAGCACAGTTGACCGAGAGGCCAGTGGAGAGAAAGCCTTTAGCTCCGGGTCATAATCTGTCTCCCAAAGTCTAATAAACACACCCCAAAGCAAACAAAGTCACAACGCTGTAACTATACAAGACATTTATTATATTAGCAAACTGATGCTACTAGCCGTCTTATCATATGTGTACATTTTTACACGCTTTAAAAAAGTATATTTAATATGCTTAATAATACAAGCTAGCAGCCGTGCTATCGGCTACTCCAAAGTAAACACATCACGTTGCTTCAAATTACTCAAAGAATAATGCTTACGGACTTGAAAGTTGACAAACATAAACGAAAAACGAGTGGTCTTACCGTTTACAGCTCACCGAGCTGCATCTCCGACTGATCCAGGAGTGTTTTTCGCCGTTCGCGATCAGCTATCACTCTTATTGGATTTATCCCATTTCACGAACCAAAATAGCAAGAGGAAACTTGTGGACTTGATCTGTTGACAGGCTAGAGTTTGTGTAGTTTCCATAAACGCAATAATATACCACGATTATGATAAATTACGCCAAAACTAACAACCAGTTCTGCTATTAGCTCCTCTGCCCAACTGTAAACAGCGCACGTCTGTCAGATAAGTCCCTGCACTGATGCCACCGGGGTGGTTAGAAAAAAAAGCGGAAGAGGGAAAACAGACACATTTTCTTTCAAATTTGTGCCATTGCACTTCGTAAAACATTTTAATATGGTATTTTATGGTATTATAGAGTATTTTCACAAACGATTCTACCTTTTTTTTAAACAGTTTTTAACCTACAATATGCTCTTTAACCTTATGGTTTTGTTTTGCATTACTTATATCATGTAGTTAAAGTGTTGTTGTGATTTTATCCTAAGTTCTTTGTCTTCTTTAGTATTCCTAAACATTTGTTGTTTGCATTGATTGATTGTTCTATAAGTTGCACTTTATAATAAATATTTTGCATTCAGGTTATTTTGTTGGCTTATCTCTCTTTTGTGCTGCGACTCAAACAAGCGGGTCATAACACTTCGTAAAATGTGTCCGGTTGTATCCGAGATCTTGTCCTTTCAGTCATGACCATGGGTGACAGTAGGTACTTAGATTACCTTACGTCTCAGCTCCTTCACCACAACAGGCAATCACATCAACTCCATTACCAGCTGGCAGCTAGCTCTCTGCAACTCTCACATGGCCGCCCACTGAAGCTAAACAGGGCTGCGCCCGGTCAGTACCTGGATGGGAGACCACATGGGAAAGCTAGGTTGCTGCCGGAAGTTGTGTAAGTCAGGCCAGCAGGGGTCCTAATGCCCCAGTATAGTGCTCAGTGAGCACTTTCTTTCGTTAAACCGAGATTGTTAGGTGGTCCCAGGATGTCCTTTGAAAAGAGTAGGCCTCTCCCTCATCCCTTAATCTACACATCATGAGCCACACTGGAGAGAAACTAGAATGTCTAATCATCTTTGTTTAATCCCGCTCCTTTTGCAGCGTCGTACAACAGAATTTCTCATGCTCAAACACTAGTGTGACTGCAGCTTCGATGTGGGATGAGTTTCAGCAACTCATCAGAACTTAATAAACACATGAAGACCCACACTGGAGAGAAACCAATCACATGGACTCAGTGTGGGGAGAGTTTCAACAGATTAGCAAACCTTAATGAACACATGAAGATCCACACTGGTGTGAAAGAGTATATGTGCTTGAGTGTGAGAAGACTTTTATTACAGCTCAAATTGAAACTGCACGAGACGATTCACACTGGACCATACAAGTCTTCAAACTGACAAGAGGTTTAATCAGTTAACACATCTGAAAACACAAAAGAGGATTCACACTGGTGAGAAACCGTACAGATCTGATCAGTGTCTACAGAGTTTCACTCATTCGGCACAGCTTAAGAAACACATGGACAAAAAGTTGCACACATGACATGAATGCAGCAAAACATTTTCTCATGTGCACAGGATTTTTCATGTCTGAATAATGTTTCAAAAGGCTGAGTGATAGTATACTGTGTTCCAACACTTCTACACTGCAGTAGGTGGGGTTGTAAATGTGCTGTGATCCTCGTGTTTACCTCAAACACAATGATGGCAGCTGAGTGAAGAACACTTTCATAAATATCTGACAAACAGCACCTCTGCGACTTAAAATCTCTTTGCAAGTGATTGTACAGGTGCGGATAAATCTGTACTCCAATCTCCAGTGTATTCATGTAGCTTGTGATGTTTTGGATGATATTCTCTGTCTGGCTCTCTGATTAAGAAACAAGTCACTGGAAAGACACCGCACACCAAAGAAGGTGGACCTCCAGGACGGTTAGTTTGCAGTATACCAGGACCTCAAGTTTAGAAAGCTCATTCAATTGTCCTGTCTTGCAGCTTTTATTTGTAAAGTTTCTTTACTATTATGTTTAAGATTTTTTCTAGTTTACTACATTTACTTGTTTGAGTAGAATACGAACTTGATGAATATTTTATGATTTAGGCAGAGCGACAGGTATTAAGTTTTACAATATTACTAAACTGTAATGATCCCAGGACTTCCGATTGGAGTATGTGGTAAATCCTGATTGAATGCCTGCATTACTCATCAATGGGTATATAAAAGTTGTTGTGTTAGCTACCCCAGGATGCTGATGCTACTTGGGAGTCTTCATGTCAAGACCTGCCATTTCATTGACTCTTTAACCTTATGGTTTTGTTTTGCATTACTTATATCATGCAGTTAAAGTGTTGTTGTGATTATATCCTAAGTTCTTTATCTTTATTATTATCTATAGACATTTGTTGGTTGCTTTGATTGATTGTTCTATGAGTTACTTTTATAATAAATCATTTGCATTCAAGCTATTTTGTTGGTTCATCTCTCTTTTATGTTGCAACTCAAACAAGCGGGTCATAACACTTTGTAAAATGTGTCTGGTTGTATCCGAGATATTGTCCTTTCAGTTATGACCATAGGTAAGAGTAGGAACCTAGACTGAGCGGTAAATTGAGAACATTGTCTTTCATCTCAGCTCCTTAACCACAACCGACAATCACATCAACTGCATTACTGCTGCTGCTGCACTGATACATCTTTAAATCTCACATTCCATTCCTCATGAAAAAAAAAAACGCAGATACCTGAACTCTATTTGGGGTAAGGACTCTCTGTCACGACACTAGACGAAAAGGATCCAATTGCAAGTGTTTATTAACTGAAAAATGAAACAAAGGATATTACTGGAGTGAACTGGAGACAAGAAAGTTCAAAACGAGAGCCACGGGTCACAATGAAGACATCAATGAACAACGAAGGATTCTGGAAAACAACAGATAGAAACAAGACAAACAACGGACTGATGACCAGAACATACCACATGAGGAAATATATAGCCAGGCAAATAAGGACTAGCTGAAAGATGATTAAGTCAGCTGATGACATCAGCTGATCCAAAAGCACGCTGTCAAACCAAAAGGTAAACAAACACACACCCTCACACATGACAACACACAAGGCAAGATACATAACATACAGGAGGAACACACAGATCCATAAACCATGACAGTACCCTCTCTCCTAAGAGCGCCTCTTGGCGCTCACAGAAGAGCTTACCTGGCGATTGTAATCATCGATGAGAGAATGATCCAATATGTCCCTTGCAGGAACCCAACTCCTCTCCTCTGGACCGTAACCCTCCCAGTCCACCAAGTACAGGAATCCTCGTCCCCTCCGTCTCGAGTCCAGAATGCGCTTAACCGAATAAACCGTCTCCCCCTCTACGAGACGCGGCTGGGGAGGAACCGGAGTAGGCGGATTAATGGCCGTATGAAAAAAGGGCTTCAATTTAGAGACATGAAAAACGGGATGAATTCTCCTGTACGCTGGAGGAAGTTTGAGGCGGACTGCCACTGGACTAATGATTTTAGTGACAGAAAACGGGCCAATGAATTTAGGTGCAAGTTTATTACATACGGTGCGGAGAGGAATATTTCTAGATGAAAGCCACACTTTTTGACCGACAACGTAAACGGGAGGCTTAGACCGGTGGCGGTCGGCTTTAGCCTTGGTGCGCAAACCTACTTGAAGGAGGGTCTGTCTGGCCCTGTTCCAAGTACGTCGACACCTCTGGACAAAGGCGTGGGCGGAGGGAACCGCGACTTCAGATTCCAGACTGGGAAATGCAGGTGGCTGGTACCCTAGACTACACTCAAACAGTGAGAGGCCCGTGGCAGACACTGGTAATGAGTTATGTGCTTACTCAACCCATGAGAGCTGCTGGCTCCAGGAGGATGGATTCTGAGAGACTAAACATCGTAACATACGTTCAAGATCTTGGTTGGCTCTCTCTGTTTGACCGTTACTCTGAGGGTGGAAACCAGAAGAAAGACTAACAGTCGCCCCCATTAAATGACAAAACTCTCTCCAAAATTTAGAGATGAACTGAGGCCCCCTGTCAGAAACCACATCTGTTGGGAGGCCATGAATACGAAAGACATGGTCAATGACAGAAGCCGCTGTCTCTCTGGCTGATGGTAATTTGGGCAGAGGGATAAAGTGAGTAGCTTTCGAAAACCGGTCCACTACGGTCAAAATCACTGTATTCCCGTTGGAGGGGGGGAGACCTGTAACGAAATCTAGCGCAATATGGGACCAGGGTCTCGATGGCACTGACAGTGGCTGAAGAAGTCCAGCGGGAGGGTGATTGAAAGTCTTAGAAATAGCACAAACAGAGCAAGCCAACCCAAAGTCCCTTTTATCACGAGCCATAAGAGGCCACCAGAATCGTTGTTTGACTAGAGACAAGGTACGACTCACCCCAGGATGACAGGCCAACTTGGAAGAGTGACCCCAACGTATGACGTCAGACCGTAATTCCTCTGGCACAAATAAACGACCCGGTGGGCATCCAGGCGGAGGCGTTACCCCTTCTAAGGCCATGCGGACCCTTGACTCGATCTCCCAGGTGACAGCAGAGATAAAAAGTCTGCGTGGCACGATGGCTTCAGGAGATGATGCATGCTCGGAGTGATCAAAAATTCGAGAAAGTGCGTCAGGTTTAACATTCTTGGAACCTGGTCGGTACGAGATGGAAAAATCTAAACGTCCGAAAAATAAAGCCCACCGTGCCTGCCTAGAGTTCAATCTTTTGGCGGATTGGATGTACTCCAGATTTTTATGATCGGTCCAAACGATAAAGGGAACCCCCGAACCCTCTAGCCAATGACGCCACTCTTCCAACGCAAGCTTGACAGCCAGCAGCTCTCGATTACCAATATCATAATTTCGTTCTGCATTGTTGAGACGATGAGAAAAATACGCGCAAGGATGCATCTTGTTGTCCGAGGAAGAGCGCTGGGACAGGATAGCACCGACCCCCACCACTGATGCGTCAACCTCCACCACAAACTGCCGTGATGGATCAGGGGCAATGAGAATGGGGCTGAAACAAAGCAGCTTTTCAGTCGGTCGAATGCAACTTGTGCTGCATTGGACCACCTGAACGGAGTCTTGATGGAGGTTAAGGCAGTCAGAGGCGCAGCAAGCTGGCTGAAGTTGCGAATGAAACGCCGATAAAAATTGGAAAAACCAAGAAACCTCTGCAGGGCCTTGCGGGAGTCTGGGGTTGGCCAATTTACCACAGCCTGAACTTTCTCTGGATCCATGCGCATCCCCTCGACCGACACGATATGTCCCAGAAATGGAACAGACTGTGCATGGAATACGCATTTCTCCGCCTTGACATAAAGCCCATTCTCTAGCA